GACATACGCGATCCAGCTTTAAACAGACAGTTCTATTTCCACCGATCACAGGCATTATGGTCAATAGTGAAGGATAAGTGAGGGCATGATGGGAAGTTCATTATTATGGGTCTAAGAGAGCAAGTTTGGTATAAGGAAAAGGTTTGCGATTTTACACGCTCATTCTGTACGATAGAATTTGGAAGAACGCTGTGGAGAAAAGAGAGCTAGGGCACGAAGAGGCAAGAAGAGCATATGAATTCCGGTAGAGCATGGAGAGGAATTAATCTCTAGCAATAATATTAAGGTAAGCAGAGTTTTATCATTGTTATTATATTTGATTTAAGGTTAGATGATTGGTAGATTGCCTTAGGTTTTGGTAGATGGTGATTTGGTATTGTTTGATTAGAAATTGATGAATTGGTGATGGACAATGACTTATAACTGATGTATAATGAGTATAGAATTATAGGTTGTTGATAGATGATGAAACCCTGTGATTAGATGGTGTTTTAGGACCCGTAATGTGATGAAATTACAGAATATTTGAACTGGTGTAGTGCATAAATCGTTGATACACTTTGAGAACTCATCAGTTGCTTCACTGTAATACGGATAAAACTTTGCTAATTCCACAAACTTCGAAGCATAATCCATCACAATTAAGCTTCCTTGTTTTAGCTTCAGAAACTCAACCTCTTTCTTCCCGTGCACATGCTCAAGAAAATACTTCCTCAAAAATTCCCTTTTTAACATAGCCCAAGTAATCACTTCACATAGCGTTGTCAGTCTTTGACGAGTACCAATCCACCAGTCATCAGCTTCCTCCGCCAATTGATGTGTACCACTTACATGAGTCTATGACATTTCATTACATTCTATGTGACATTACATAATGATTTATTTGTGATGCTTGATGATACATTGTGTATGATGATATGCGTTCGTGTATTGATGAAGTGGTGAAGGTGTGAGTATAGCATGACGATATGATGATGTGTGATGCCTTGCTTATATGTATATTTACTATGTCGATTCCTTGTGTCTTATATAATAATTATGATTTACTCACCCTTTCTGTTTGAATGTTGGCTCCATGTGTGTAACGCATGGGTGATCGAGAATAGTCCGTAGAAGAATTAGAGGATAGCTTCGGAGAGTGCTTATTTGCTTTTGTTGAATAAAGGCAGTCTTGCTCTGATATGTAACATCAGGGTTGAGATTGAATGATTGGAAATTATATTCTTTGTTTTGTTTTAAGATGTTGAGTCACTCTACGTGGTACTCGAGATGTTTTGATTTATAAGTATGAGTTATGAAGTATGACTAATTTTTATGAAGTACTATAATGAAGTGTTTTGAACTATGATTTCCACTGCCATGATTCGAAGAACTAAATGTTAATTCTATCTTGTTAAAGATTTTGAAAACTCGTGTTATGGACCATGATGTATTGTTGTGAAGTTTTATAATAAGATGTGACACCCTTGTTTGGTGATATACTCTGATTTATTTAGTAGAATAATTGCGAATATTCATTGGGGTTTAAAAGGGTGTTACAATAATTATAGCACAACAATCAATCTTGGATGCAATGATAATGATAGAACAACATCCAGTCTTGGATCTCTGACATCTTGTATGGGACCTGGACATGCTGTATTTTTAATATTCTAGATATATAATGTAACCATTTAAAAAAAATTAATCTAACCCCTCAGTTTTTTTGAAAAACTCGAGGGGTTAGTTAATATAACTTCTCGATTCCAAATTCGAGAGGATATTTAATTCTAAAACCAACATTTCATTAACAAACAAGGTCAATACATAGATTTCATTGTATCTACAGTTTCCACATAACATTAACAATGCAATTCAAACCCTACTTCATCAATTACATTTCATAACAAAGTAAATATTGAACATAGATGAGATAACAAAACATAACATCTTCAAATTACCATAAAATTTCTTTGATTTCAATTTGTTCTTTAGATTCTTGTTCTTGTTCTTTGAATCTTCATACATAATCTTCAAATAGCCCATAACTTTCAATTCTGACTTCATAATGCTCCCATCTTCATTTCCACCTTTTGCCACCATGTCTTCATCTCATATGAACAAATTACATGTCTCTTCACTCCTCTAAAATGGACATCTCCAAAAAATCCTTACTTTATTTTATCCATTCTTGCATTGGTACGAAAGTATATGACCATCACACCCACATAATGGTCCAGATCGTGATTTTATAGAAGAAGAAGACATAAAAACACCTTTGGATGAGTTTGTCTTTAAAGACGATATTGTTTTAGATTAGCTAGCCAGTACATTAATCCAAAACCTAGATGATAGTTAAGTGTTAATTTTTCACTATTTTCAATGGCCTTAAACAAATATATGCCGTCCATTCAAAGGTTATCAACACTCAAGAATCCGTATTTAATGATCCGAGTGAAACCTAAGAGACATCCACTATATAAACTCTCTTACGATATTGGAAATCTAACCTATATGAAACATATGAAGCGCTTGAAACCTAAGGATGCTTGGAAAAGTTCTCTACGATGATTTGCAAGAGCAGAAAATCATCTGGGTTCAAGGTTTGTTTTGTTAAATATTTTTTCATTATTTGATTTTTGTTTTGTTAAATATTAATTACCTTACCTTTTTTTTTTCATCAGAAACAATTGCATGTAAGATCTAACAAAAGATCTTCCCCAAGCTTTAATAATACGAAGATCTAAATCTAAATCTTGAGGAAATTTACTTTTTAATCTTGTCTACCATAGGGAATTTGATTTTTATCTTGGACCACCCTAGGGACTTCGATTTTTATCTTGAACTATTCTAGGGAGTTTGACTTTGATCTTTATTTTCTGGATAAACAAGATAATATTATGGGTAAATAATGTTCTGTGTAAACAATTTAATATTTTGGATAAACAATATAACAACTTTAAAAAAAAATTATTAACCCCTCAATTTTTTGGAAATCCGAGATAAAAGATAGGATAGTTTTGAATATAATAAAAGTGCGGCTCCTGGGCTTCGAACTCATGCGCATATAACTATACACCCCGGGTTTTGAAAAACCAAGGTTTTAAGTGGAGACTTTTCATGACGATAGAATCGTTATTTGTAGTAGTGCAAGTATGGTTGGAGAGCCATGCTTGCGAGCTTGTTAGATGACCTAAGAAGAAATTTGTGGTTTAAAGTAAAAGTATGAAATTAGCAAGATCAAGGTTCAAGTGTGGCTTGAACTTGACCATTGTTATTGAATAGTGAGTTCAAAACATGTTTGATAACAACAAAGTGGCTGGAGGATAAATTGACATCCCCACTATTTAATATCAAGTTGGAGAATTGTATAACTATGTCTTAAAATCTTGAGTGATGAAGAGAAAGAAATAATGTTTCGAGATTTATAGAAATTAGAACCTCATAAAGAAGCAAAAAAGTTGACTAAATAAGTCAGGGCCACATGGATGATCGGATTGAGGGTGGCCAGTAGCAATGCAAGAAGTTGCACTGGCAGCAATTCGGCGGTGTTGGGTCAGGTCCAGTGTTTAGAAGGTTCGTTCTGGGAGGTTCGCAGTTATTGGATTTAGTTGTTTCAGTTTATAGATCAGTTCGTTAATGTTAAAATATTATAAATATATTTTATGTTAATTTAGAGATACTCTAAGATACTTAGAGATACTATAAAATATTATAAATTAATATAAAAGATATTATAAGATATTTATAATTTTTCTATTCTAACAATTAATGGGTTACGCTTTGGACGCATTAAGTATCTATTGAATTTTAGCATTTATAAATATTTATCTCAATTATTTATTTCTTCACAATATTTAGAAAATGTAGTTTGAAAGACAAAGGGAGAATGCGACAATCCTATGGAAAACTTAGAGGGGCGAGGGTAGAATTTCATATGATTATATTTTTGGAATTTGAAACACCTTTGAAGATATCTAAGAGGTTTGAGAAACACTTCTAAATATATTGAAGTTGTGTGATTCATATATAGAGAGTTGGAGAGATTGAGAAACACTTATTGTATAAAATAAAGTATGTTCTCAGAAACTTGAGTGATCGTTTTCTTACAAGTGTTTTGTAATCTCTTTCAACAATTCTTGAAAGTATAATAAATCAGAGATTGCTCTCTCCCCTAAAGTGAATATGTTTGATAGAACTAGATAAAAAAATTTATTTGACTTTTTATTTTTTATATTCTTCTACTTCTTTACATATTTATCTTCACTCTTGACAAATTAATGAATTGCTTAGTGTTATTTATTTTGTTTAACATTGTTCTTAATCACCACGCATCAAATTTTTTGGTATGTTTGAATTTGAATAATCTTACTAAATTGTTTGAATTATTCTAACAGTTTTTGAGAAGAAACATTTTAGACAAAATATTTTTTTGTCTTGTATGTTAACGTCAATGTCTATTTTGGTCCATTAACTTAAAAAAAGTTTATATTGATCTCTTAACTCTTTAAAATGTTTTATTTTAGTTCTTTTTGTCTAATTAGCGACGGAAAAACTCAGAAATCGGTCGTTAAATTCGCCGCTAATTAGACAAAAAAGACTAAAATGAAGCGTTTTGAAGAGTTAAGAGATCAATGTGATTTTTTTTAAGTTAAAGGAGCAAAATGAACCTTTACATTAACATACGAGACTAAAAAGAATATTTTACCAATATTTTAACGAAGGAAAAGAATATTTTACTAATATTTTAAATTTTTTTATCCATTTCCTCATTTAAAAGAAAAATATATAAACCTTTTAATTGGATCGCAATCTAAAACTTTTATAAAAAAAGACTTTCACTCAACTAAAATGATAGTGTAAAAATGATTGTATTAAAATGGCATTGACTTTTATGGACATGTTGTGCACTTGCAAAAAAATTAATCAATATATAAATAGTTTGGCCGAAAAAAGAACACTATAATGAATATATAAAGGGTCACGGTTCCATTAGGAATAGCTAAATATTTACAAGATAAATGAAAATGGGGGTTGACTTTGTTCACATTCTGTTGTTATTAATTGTTTTTCCTTTACTTTGTGTTAATAGTGAGCATTTTGTGTTGATTCATGGTGGAAGCCATGGTGCATGGTGTTGGTATAAGGTTGCAACTATGCTTAAATCAGCTGGTCATAATGTTACAACTGTTGAATTGGCTGCTTCTGGTATCAATCAAATACAGGTTCAAGAGATTCGTCAAATTTCACAGTATTATGAACCTTTGATGACATTTATGGAATCTCTTCCTACAAATGAAAAAGTGATTCTAGTAGGTCACAGCCTTGGTGGAGTGTCTACATCTGTAGCTATGGAAAAATTTCCAGACAAAATTTCAGTTGCTGTTTTTGCTACTGCTTATGTGCTTAGTCAAAATCTCACATACCCTACTATTCAACAAGAGGTACTCTACAAAATTTAGATTTTGTGTTAAATAAAGTAAACTTGAATTACAATTGGAGTAATTTTTAGTGACTATCTTGCAGCAAGCTAGGAGGAACATTTCTTCATTGGACACACAAAGTTTCTTTTTTGATGGACCCAACAAACCTGCTACTGCCAGAATGGTTGGACCTAAATTTATGGCATCAAGGATGTATCAGTTATCACCACCTGAGGTATATATAAACATTTTCAGAAGAAAATTGGTAAAATTAATTTTGCATTTTAATGAAATTAACTCCAAGTTAAAATTTGTAGGATTTGACCCTTGCATTGTCCTTGGTGAGACCTGTACCAATTTATAAAGATGTTGAACTATTGACAAAGGAAACAGCAGTTAGCAATCACAAAAATGGAAAGGTACCTAAAATATTTATCATCAGCAAAAGTGATAATTTAATAACTGAAGATCTACAAAAGTGGATGATTGAGAGAAGTGGTCCATTTGCTGAGGTGAAAGTGATTAAGGATTCTGATCACATGGTTATGTTCTCCAAACCAGAAAAGCTTGCTTCTATCCTTCTAAAGATTGCAAATAATACTATTTAATTATAATGATATATGGTATTCGTGCCTACCATGTCCTAAACAATTATATGTATGGGTTGGAATTATATTTTTATTATAAATTATGGTTGTGAATTCCATTGAATAAGAATAATTAGAGAGTTCTCTTGTTTGTTACTTCATTCTTTGTTGTTGGAAATCCACCAAAAGACTATGATGAAATTCTACCACAATGACGATTAGTTATGAGAAAAACAAAGAAAATAAGATAAGACAAATAATTTCTGGAGAGTTTCTCTCTGTTTACAAACTGTGAAAACTTTATTATTCACTTTGCAACTGCAAAGTACTGTGAATGACTTGTTTGACTTACTTATAAAAATAAGGATTACTCCCTCTATTTATAACTGAGCTTACACCCTAAGCCCAAAACCCAAAATATATTTTTGTTACTAAATCAAATCTAATTTATTCTAGACTTAAATCAAATCTATTTAAATCTAAAACAAATCAAATCTTTTCGACACATAGTTTCGACACATTGAATTACAATTTAACCACTACAAGAAAAATGATAGATTGGGACGGTTATTTTGGCTGATTACGACGGTTAAAACCGTCGCAATTTACAATCTACGACGGTAGAAGTACCGTCGCAGAATCGTGCGTCCCCAGCCTATTTCGCGACGGTTGCAAAAACTGTCACGCACAACAGATAGTGACGGTTATACACCGTCGTGAATTTGACTTTATTTTTTGTTTTTTTGTTGTTTGCGACGGTTATTCTACCGCCGTAGGTTAGAAATTGCGGCGGTTTTAACCGTCGTAATCTGATTTATAAATTTCAAATAATATTTTTATTTAAATTATTATTTAGTAAAATAATTTTAAATATAATATTATTTTACTATAATATTTTACTATTATATTTAAATTATTATTTACTTTAATATTTTTTTATTTATAGTATTTTTATTTTATTTTCTATCACTTTTCAACATAATAAAGTTAATTACAATAAAAACATTTAATATCAAATAATCATCAATAATATCAAAAAAATGTGATCAAAGGTAAAAAGAAGTGCAAATTTTACCAATAAACAAGAAAAATTCAAATATCATCAAAGGCCAAATTTCATTTTAATATTTACATTGGTTTGCTACAACTTGAGAGAATTACAAAAAATGTTACAATATTCTACAAAATTCATGAAAGTCCTTAGTGTTAAGTGATTTTGTGTTAAACTTCCATGCTAGGACCATGATCCTTCCTTGACTACCATTTGGTCCAAGCTACGCATACCTAGCAGCCTGCAAGATTCACACAAAACATATTTTTGTACTCACAAGAACATGTGGCAGGTTTTTGGCATCATAATATGCCTCAGATGGCTTAGTCAATGTCTTTGTGATGACATGTTTTTCCAATTCTACTTGTCCATTTTGCGCTTCTTCTTGTACCTGCATTACAAAACTAACTGTCAATTATGGGTTGGCAGAATAACTCTCACAACAGTTTGCCTAACACAATGATCTCAGACATTTTTCTAATGGAACAAAAGTGTTTCCTTATGTTCCTTAGGAGATCTAGGTAGATCTGTATTCCTGAGAAGTTTAAGGTTAGTTTAATCTTAATGATTGTAGTTAGTCACAACTGTAGTTGTGCAGCTTCTAATCAGCTTGGATTATAGTGGATTAAGTCCTTAAGTGATAAGGAAAATCACCTTGACGGGTGGACTGGAGTAGTTGAGTTCAACGAACCAGGATAAAAGTACTTGTGTTGTTGTTTACTGTCTTAAAATTTTTGAAACCAAACTTATTCAAACCCCCCTTTATAAGTGGTTTCTCTCCTTCAAGTAGCGACAACAATGGTTAGACTATGTCCACAATGAGGACCAGGAGCTTCTTCATCACTATCCCAAAATCTTTCTATAGGTCTATAAGTTGGAGCAGGATGTAGCCACGGTTTCAACCCCATCACAAAATTGGAGGATGAAAACAAACCCTAACGAAAAGGTTCAGCAATGAATATTTGAAATTCAAACTTCAAAGTGCAACATATAGAAACTGTCTTAGAGAGTCGGAGTACATCAATAACAGCAGCACAAAATATATATGATATACCTACATAGTACATATACATAATCGAAGGGAAAAACATGATGTTAACTTTTATACTCTCTAAATTGATTCCTCAAACAAAAAGATCATTTGTTTTCCATCAATATATCTTCAACTTGTGGCTGCATTTTTAGAACTTCATTGTAATATGTATTTCTTTTCAAGAAGAGTTGCGGGATTCATTTTCAGTCCCTAAAATATAGAAGGTGTAGTAGTATATTATGGATAACATATATAACCAACTAAGGTTTAACCATTTAATATAATATAAAAAAAGTGTGTTTTTTCGAAGTCTCAAAATTACACTATACAATTTCTTTCACATAGGCAATATCTTAGGGCAAGTTTAAACAAACTTCTAACTTCTAGAAACTTTTCAACTGAGTTATGTATTCAGCTCCTAATTTCTTTCACAATATAAAGGTTTCACATGTCCTTGAACAATATCACAACCGCAAATGCAGCAACATCATCCACATTAGTTTTCATAAGCTCGCAGTGTAACCACAAGTACAATGTAGAAACATCATCCAAATAAATTGTACAAAATTTGAAATGAGTAGAATAATATTTGAAACATTCCGATAACTAAGAGGACCTGAAACTATCAACCCCCACCACCTTGCAACATATCACTACCCTCTCAGTTCATGATTCAACAACAATTCTCTGAATCACACAACACCATGTAACTCTCGTACTCATTCTCAATTATCATCATCATTCTTTCAGCTCTCACTCAATTAGTACACACAACAGAAATACAACAAAGAAAAGGAAAATAAGCAGAGCAATTACAATCATACAGAAGAACACACAGAAGCAACAAAGAACATCAAAAAAGAAAAGCAAAGTCTCGAGAATTCAAAAAGAAAGAAGAAGGAGAAGATTAGAGAAAGAAACAAGGCCATCACAATTTAAAAGATTACCTTTTGAAGCTGTCAGAATCAGTGAGACCTCGCTGAAATCTGGGTAATCCCACCGGAAAGTTCATAGCCACTTAATTTTGACGAGTCTTTTAACAAGCCGTGTACATTTTTTTAGCCTAAGCCATGCCCTCGTCATGAATTGCGCTTCAACTTACTGTCTTCATCGCATTTGACCCAATTGGTGCGGTTAGGGTTTGGAGAGGTACCTTCAACTTTTCATCTTATGTAGCTTTAAGAATCTTCTTCCTCAACTGATCCTTCGCCTTAATTCTCTTCCTCTCCTTCTCCATTTCATCATTTTCAGCCGGACCCTTATCTTCCGGGAGTGGAGCTACCCGAACAGGGTAAGACACAAGAGTAATCGACGGGGCGTCCTTCAGAAGATAGAGAAATAAAAGGAAGTGAGAGACATGATTTGCGGTTGAATGTTTGACGGTTTCCGGACGGTGGACCTTCAACGACGGAGAAGCAAGACGAGTCTTGATTTTGGGACGGCTGCGCTAGGGTTCGGGTGACATTTTGGACGAAGGATACTGTAAAAGTAAATTGATATTTTGTTTAAAAATGAATTACTAACATTTTGTGATATCATATATATATATATATATATATATATATATATATATATATATATATATATATATATATATATATATATATATATATATATATATATATATATATATATATATATATATATATATATATATATATATATATATATATATATATATATATATATATATATATATATATATATATATATATATATATATATATATATATATATATATATATATATATATATATATATATATATATATATATATATATATTATTTGTTAACTTAAAATAATAAAATAAAAGATAAAAAGATAAAACTTCTTTCTTAAAATTAGAAATGTGGATGGAATTAAAATCTTAAATAAATAAAGAAGAAAAATATAAAGGAAATTGTAATTTAATAAATAAAATTATGAAAATCTTAAAATAATATTGATGGGTGTGAAAATTTATTTTGTTGGTAATTTATTTTATTATTATTATTATTATTATTATTATTATTATTATTATTATTATTATTATTATTATTAATAAAAGAGAAAAAGAAGGGGAAATGAAAGAAAAAAAGTGGGAAAGTAAAAGAATAAAAAAAAGTAGCGATTATGATTGGCTAATGTAGTTACGACAGTTCACCTAATTGTCGCGGATGTGAAAAGAGGACGGTTTTTTGGTAACTGTCGCAATTATGTTACTCATAATGCTTGAAAATCTACGACGGTTGAGCCTAACCGTCGTGACAACTGTCGCAATTCAGGAATAAGGACGGTTTTGTGGGAACTGTCGCAATTTATGTGTCGTAAATCTCTTTTTTTCTTGTAGTGAACACATCACCTAATTCATTGTGTCTAAACTATCTATGTTCATCATGGCTCTTAGCTTTCTGAATACTTCGACTTGCACTCCCTTTGTCATGATGTCTGCAATCTGATTCTCAGTTCTGTAGTATTCCAAATTCATCTTCCCATCTGCTACCTGCTCTCGAAGATAATGGAATCTCATTTCGATGTGCTTACTTCGACCATGTGCTATTGGGTTCTTCGCCAAATTAATAGCTGACATGCTGTCTATCTTCATGGTAATTGCTCCATAATTTTTCCCTGTTATCTCTTCGACCAAGTTCACCATCCAAGTTGCTTGACATGCACAAAGAGAAGCAACTATGTATTCTGCTTCGCATGATGATAATGCCACTACTGATTCCTTTCTTGAATTCCAAGCAACTGGTGCACCACCTAGCATAAACACATATCCTGCTGTTGACTTTCGATCTTCAGCATCACTACACCAACTCGAATCAGTGTATCCCACTAACTTGCATTCTTTTCCTTTATCAACTGCAGGAAACAAAATGCCATAATCGAAAGTTCCTTTGAGATACCTTAGTATCCTCTTCACTGCTGCTAGATGTGATACCTTTAGCTTCTGC